GTACTACTAGAGTCCCTCTGCCATTGCTCGTCGCGCAGGGCGAACTCCAGTCCTTTTGCGAGCTAGGCCTTCCCTTGGAATCTCCAATCCCGCCATGCACTGGTCGAAAAGCACGCGGTGCCCGGGCAACTCGTAGAGCGCCTTCGCCCTCCACCTGCGCGCTGTCGCTGGCTGCTCCAGGCGTGCATCTCGACCTCCGCGCCACTGCCTGAGGTGGACCTGCTTGCGTAATATCACGTGCATCTCGCGGTTATCCGAGCGCCGCTGCTGCAGCTTCTCTTTGTCCTCGTCTGTCTTGCAGCCTCGTTCCTGCATCATCGACCAGAGCTTGCAATCGGGACTGAACCATATGTCGCGCAGCTGCTCCTCGTCAACCAGGGCGAAGAACTTCTTCTGGGCCTTGAGCTCGCCGACATCCCAGCCGCTGTGTACTCCGAACGTCCTAGCCTGATGTCCGCGTCTCCTCAGCTCCGTCGCCAACTCCGACTTGCCGCCGTAGACCCCCCATCTCTTGCGCTTGCCCTTGCGAAGGTCACTTGCCCTCTCCAAGTCCTGCTTCAGCTGCGCGGTGGCCGACTCGAGGGACTTCCGGCACTTGCACAGCTGCTTCAAGTTGAGGTCCTTGCCAACGTAGTTGTCGCGACTCGTAAACGCGTCGACCTTGTTGCTGATCTCGACCGCGGCGCCGATGAAGTTCAACCGGCCCCTCGCGCGCCAGCACCTCGTCGCCCGGAAATGCAGGGGCCGATAGGGCGCTGCACTCGAACATGACCCAACATATATTGCGGCAGCAATTCTTGGCGGGCGCGCCCCTTCACGCAAGTAGCGAAACTCTCCAGCACATCGATGATGAAATGCCCGCGCTGGGGCTGTTGGCGCAACCGAAATCCTGTTATATCCGTCCCACCATGCCCTCTTGTTCTTGAAATCCACGACCATACCGAGCTCCTTCATCGAAGGTCTGGCGAACGGAAATGGCGCGTGGCCTAGAATAACATGCGCGAGAATCGACGAATCTGCCTCCGAAGAATGATGGCACAACTGTGGACGCCGTCGCCTCGCTGGAAGAATCGCTGCCGCATCTGGAATTCTTCGAGCACGGGAAGACCTGCATCCTGCGGGTTGGAAACCTTTGGCGACCAGCTGCTTGCCATAGCGCTCAAGCGCCTCGCGTCCCACGATCACGCTGGTCGCTCCACTGTCGCGCATCGCCTCCGATGGGTCGATCTCGGTCGAGATGTCGACGTCACCTACTGAGTCGGTGACCATTCTCGCCTCTGCCGCGTCGTCGCCAACATTCTGCCTCTTCCTACTCCGGTGCGGCCAGTCCCTGGCGAAGTGTCCTCGACCTCCACATCGCAGGCAGATCGTCTCGTCCGTCGCTCTCGGGGTGCGGTGAATTCCACCTTTTCCGTAGCTGCCCGCCTTACCGCGCCACTTTGTAGATCGCCCTGTCGCGGGATGATGGGCGCCGCGCCCCCTGCCGGCGGCGGTAGCACAGCTACGAAACCTCTGGCCGATGCCATGTCATTCATCTTCTGCCTTGCGCCCGTGCACGCTGGCACCATCTCGGCGCGCTGCTCTACATCGCACGTCTGGTCGGGCATGGGGGTGCCGAGCGTCGTTCTCTCGCAGTAGCAGACTGCCACTGCGTCGAAACTGGGGCCTGCTTCTTGGCGGCCCTCGACGGCGTCCTCGTAGTAGGCGTACTCCTCCTCGTTTCCATAGTGGACAACCTCTTCGCAGTCGTCCACGTGGTAGGCTGCTGCCCCCGAGCTTGCTCGATTGCTTGGCAACGAGTCCAGGCCGAACGTTTTCTCCACCTCGAACTCGACCTTGTCTAATGAGAGATTGTCGCCAACTCGATTCACGATGAGCTGCTTGCTCTCCTTGTCCAGCCCGGCCCCGCGCAAAACAAACCAGCCCAGCACCGTGTCTGGGAGAGCCACCTCGTGCGAGCGCAGCTTGCGCTCTGGTGTCCGAAACCTCTTTGAATAGTCCATCAGCGTCTCCTTGGGCTTGCGGGCTGCCTTGAAGAAGAGATTCTCGAAATCCGTCGGGAGCTCCGTAGTCTGGTCATAGCTGTAGGCCTTGTCGAGCGCGTCGAGGATGAGCTGCCAGCCTTTCCCCCTGTTCGATGTCCGATATCTGAACGTCCTCGACCACCTCCCACGCTCTGCCCCGCAGGCCTTGCATGATCTCGAGCCCTACTGCTTTCTCCTGCTGCCTGCTCCTGGCTCTCGCGGCGTATATCTCCATCTTTCTCCTGAACGTCTTGCACCCGTCGATGGAGCCGTCGAACTCCGGGGCGCGTCCGATGAATGGGCCGTCATCTGGTCGTCCTGATCCTGATGCTGCTACTGCTGCTGGCTCTTTTCCCCCCACTGCCAGACGGTGGTCCCATTGGTGCGCTGCTGTCCGTGAGCCTTCAGGCTCCACTACCAATGTGAACTCGTCGAAACACTCGAAGTCCTCGACCCTCGTCGAATCGAAGTTCGATTCCCCGCCAACTTCTCCTCGAACACCTTCCTCCACTATGCTCTGCACGCGGGCGGGGTGATGGTAACTTTTTCGGTCAGCCGAAAGGCCTCCGGACCTCAAACGGCAACGATCAGACGCGCCGTAAACATCCTGTTGTTTGCTATGTGCTGTCACTGGGCCTCAAGGGGCCTCGGGAGGGGAAAGCATCCAACATAATTCTGTCAAAACCCTCAAAACATACATTGTACGGAGTGCAATTCACACCTGGCCAATTTATGGGCTCTGGGGCACCAACGCAGATCGCGATCGCGCCGCAGACCGCCTCCTGGTTTCCAACCTTTCGGAACACCCGTTTTCGCAAGAGCTCGTGGCCGAGATCTCTCAGGTGAGAATGTCGACACATGTCTAGATGTCTAAACGAACTCTCCCCTTGCTTCGCTGCCGCCACGCTGGTGGACACGAATCTCGACTTGTTCGTTTGCAGCATGAGCCGCGTCGGACGTGCCAGCATGCAAAACTCACGCGTTGCAGCGAATACCTGTTTGCCGTGAGTTGCGCCGGGACCTACCCATTGAAGAAACACAGCATCCATCAGGGAACGCGCCTGCACTCGAAACGGCTGGATTACTACCCGAATCGGCTGCAGCAAGACAGCAAGCATGATAGAAATGGCTGCCGAACATCCCGCAAGTATGCCTTGGCACGAAACAAAAGGGGTTCCAATAACGACCTTTCCGCATCTATTCTACGTGGGGCCATACAGGACCGCAACACCATCCATCCGAGACGGAGCGGGAATCCGACCTGCCTAAAAATCTTGAACCGCACCGAGAGCTCGATCATATAGTAACATTCAACCATGTCGAGAAGAAGGGTAACCGAGTGCTGGCCATTGGCTTTGGCCATTTCGGCGGAAAGGATCAAATCAAAGGCCGATACACACGAGCTCCTTCCTTTCCCCGACCCCCAGAACTCCCGAGTACGACTCCCCGCCTCCCTCTCATCATTGGCAATTCGGGCAATCCTACCCCGGACACGTAAGATGGTGTCTAGAATCTCTATATCAGAATCTCTATCTATATGTGACCTCCGTCAGTCTGACCATTATGATAACCAAACGCTTGCTAAGCCGGCATGAGGCACGCTTGCACTGCATCAGAAAACTGACAATGCCGCAAGCACATCATCCGTTTAATACTGAAGCGAGCAAGGGTGTATCTTGCAGCATTAAACCGCCGCCTTCGGGAGGAACTTCGCAATCGCACATCGCAAATCGAACACCCCGATCGGCGGCAGGCTCGCCCACTCCCCTGCATCGCTCGGAAGATCGAAATCATCGCACTTGTGGGTGGTCCAAATGTGGGCCCAGTCCCTACACGTGTCGTCGGCCAGCTCGAACAGCTGGGGCAAGGAGAGCAGGGGAGGGGAAGCATGAGGAGGCGGAGGGGGAGGAGGTGGAGGAGGAGGCGAAGGAGGGGAGGGAGGGGAGGAGGAGGAGGAGGAGGAGGAGGAGGAGGAGGAGGAGGAGGACGAGGCTGGAGTGTGGTCGTTCCTGGGGGGGGCGGGGGGGAGCGGGCGCTGGCCCCCGATCACAGAGCGCGGATGGCCAGACACGCGGCCCGCCTGCGGAGGAGGAGGAGGAGGAGGGGGGGGCGGGGGAGGGGGCATTGCGGTGGCGGGGGGGGGGGCAGAGGGGGAGGCGGAGGAGGGGGAAGGCGGCAGAGGGGGGGGTGGGAGAAGAAGGGAGGGAACTGGGCCGAAGGAAAAACGAGTACCCAGCGGTCGGAAGGAGTAGGTAGAGACAGGAAGCAGGAAGGCAGAAAGAGTAGATTGGGTTCCGTGCGCCCACTAAGGCCACTCGGTCATTGAAGCAGGAAGGCGCGTAAAGCAGATTGGAATCTGGGACTCCAGAAATTCCTGCTTTCAACGGCCGACCAGTGACAGAAAACAAAGGACAATGGGCAGAAGGAAAACGGGCCGAAGAAAAATGGGCCGAATGAACCGAAGATGGGCCGAAGGAGCATGGGAGGAGGGGGGAACACGGGTCGAAGGGAAAGCACGTGACGAAACACGAGGAGGAGCGCGAGCAGCTTACAGCGCACAGTCTCCTCGAGCCGCCCGGGGGGGGGGGGGGGTCTGGGCGGGCGCGTCTCCGAGAGGGCACCCCCGAACTTGACGCCGACGGGCGGCCCTGGAAGCGGGCGGGGGCCCGCGGAGCCTGCCGGCAGAGGACGGCGACGACGACGACGAACGACAAACAACGAATGGTGACCAGGACGACGCCGACGACGACGACGACGACGAAGACGACGCCGACGACGACGACGACGACGACGACGACGAACATCACCACCACCAAAACCACCAACACCACCACCACCTCTGGGTTCTATATGGTGCCAGCGTCTTTGGAATTCTGGGGGGCCTCTCAAGACCTCCTGGGAGCCTTCGGGGAAACCTGGAGGCCTTCAGGAGTTCGCGGAGGCCCGGGGAGACAGACGACGGCTGGGGCGGCCGCGCCTCCGCCACGCCGGCAGCACGAGCAAACAGACCATGATGCCCATGCAGAGCTGCACGATCAGCCGTATGCTGTTACTGTGCGACGACTTCTCGGAGACGGACTCGACGCCGCCTCTCGCCCAGAGCGGCGTCGGTCGTCAACACGATCATCGTCACCACCTCCATCGTCATCGTCGCACTCACCACCATCACCATCAACATCATCGCCGATGTCGTCGCCATCAGTCATAAGTCGCCAGTCAGCATCATCATTACCATCAGCATCAGCATCAGCATCGTCATCATCAGAATCATCACCATACTCCTCATCCTGATCCTCATCGGCATCACCATCATCATCATCATCATCATCATCATCATCATCATCAGCATGATCCTCATCATCATCATCATCATCAGCAGCAGCATCATCATTACCATCAGCATCAGCATCAGCATCGTCATCATCAGAATCATCACCATACTCCTCATCCTGATCCTCATCGGCATCACCATCATCATCATCATCATCATCATCATCATCATCATCATCATCATCATCATCATCAGCATGATCCTCATCATCATCATCATCATCAGCAGCATCATCATCATGATCATCATGATGTTCATCATCATCATCATCATCATCATGTTCATGTTCATCATCATCATCATCATCATCATCATCATCATCATCATCATCTGCATCAGCTTCGTCGTGGCCATTATCATCATAATCAGCCTCATCATCAGCATCAGCATCATCATCATCATCATCATCATCATCATCATCATCATCATCATCATCATCATCACTATCATCATCGACATCATCATCAGCGGCATCATCCTCGTCCTTTGCCTCCTCCGCCTGTTCTCCCTCCTCCTCCTCCTCCTCCTCCTCCTCCTCCTGCTGCTCCTCCTCCTCCTCCTCCTCCTCCTCCTCCTCCTCCTCCTCCTCCTCCTCCTCTTATCATCATCAGCAGCAGCAGCATCATCATCATCCTCCTCATCATCAACGTCAGCATCCTCATCATGATCGTCATCAGTATCAGCATTGTCATCACCATCTTCATCATCATTATCAGCAGCACCGCATCCTCCACATCATCCTCGTCAGCAGAATCAGCCTCATCACCATCCTCATCCTCATCATCATCATCATCATCATCAGCAGCAGCAGCATCAGCATCGGTATTATCAGCATGCTCATCAGAAGAATCATCGTCGTCATCGTCATCGTCACAATTATCATGTCGCTGCCCTCATCATCATTATCATCAGCAGCAGCAGCAGTGTCGTCGTCGGTCGAATGATCATCCTCACCCTCATCTTCCTCCTCTTCCTCCTCCTCCTCCTCATCATCATCATCATCCATATCATCATGGTCGTCATCATCTGCATTATCAGCATCGCCACATTATCATCATCAGCAGCATCATCACCATCAGCAACAACATCATCGCCACCAGCATGACATCACCAGAACCATCACAAGCATATTCCGTGTCAACATCACCATCGACACCATCAACATCACCATCACCAGCACTACGTCCACCACCATCAGCATCATCATCACCACCACCACCATCAGCATCAGCATCAGCAGCAGCACCATGATCAGCAGCGCCATCATCGTCGGCGTCGTCATCAAATTCGTCTTCGCCATCGACATCATCATCATCTCCTTCATGATCACACTACTGATAAGCATCAGCATCATCATCATCATCACCATCATCAGCATCGTCATCAGAATCAGCATCATCAGCAGCAAAATCATGAGCATCATCATCGCCATCATCATCAGCATCGTCACCAGCATCATCATCATCATCATTATCATCATCGGCATCATCCTCCGCATCATCCTCGTCAGCAGCATCAGAGTCATCACCATCACCATCATAACAATCAGCAGCATTATCAGCATCGCCATTCTCAGCATGCTCATCAGAAGCATCAGAATCGTCATCGTCAGCGTCACAATCATCATGTCGCCATCGTAATCAGCATCATCAGCATCATATCATCAGCAGCAGCAGCGTCATCATCAGTCTAATCATCACCGCATCCTCATCTTCAGCATCATCCTCCTCATCCTCCTCATCATCATCGTCGTCATCATCTTCATTGCCATCATCACCACCACCACCACCATCATCACCGTCGTCATCGTCATCAACATCACCACATCATCATCAAAATCATCGACATCATCATAATATCACCAGAACGATCACCATCATACTCAGTGTCAACATCATAATCGGCACCATCAACATCATCGTCACCAGCACCACAACCACCACCATCATCATCATCATCATCATCACCAACACCATCTTCAGCATCAGCATCATCATCGTCGTCGTGCTCATCGTTGTCAGCATTCATAATCGTCAACGCCATCAGCATCATCATCATCACCATCATCACCATCATCAGCATCATCATGTTCATGGTCATCTTTATCTCAACTTTCTTCATGATCAAAAACGTCATCATCACAAGCATCATCCTCGCGTTCCTCATCATCATTACCATTATCATCCGCCAGCCCCCGCTGCGGCGGGCACCAGGCTGCGATGGCTGGACCTCCTCAGCCGAGCAGCCTACACAGCGTCGTTGCAGTCGGGGCGAGGGGCCCCGCGAGCGTCCGGGGGGAGGGGAGCGCGCCCCACGGCCAGCAGTCCGGGAGCCGCAGGGCAAGACGAGAGAGCGCCCGCGCGGACCGACTCTGCCATGGCTCGTGCAAAGGGCCGTGGCTCGTGCACGTAGGCGCTCAGTCCATTGTCTGCGCCACCTTACTGTCTGCTCCCATTGTCTCCTCGCTAACCCACCTAACGCGCCTCAGTCCATGCTTGCGTTTCCCTGAGAGATGCCCGCGGGCTGTGCAGAACGGTTCCCGAGGCCGCGCGCTCGGTCCACTCTGGCGCCAATACATCCTCATCGTCATCGTCGCCATTACCACCACCATTGTCGTCACCGTCGTCGTCAGCAAACGAAGCAGCATCGTCTCCCGTCCTCCGCAACTGGCCCTCCTCTCCATGTCTCGCCCCTTCCATCCGTCGGTTTTTCCGTTCCTGTCCGTCCCCCCTCCCCCTCCCTCCCTACTCTCCCCCGCCCACACCAATATCTCCCGTCCTCCTCTCCCTCCCCCACTTTCCCTCCCTCACTTTCCATATCAACCTCTTCTTTCTCTCCCGCCCTCTCCTTCCCTCGTTTTCCTTTCCGAGTCTCTCCCCCCGTCTCCCTCTCCAGTCTCGGCTCGGGGGCTCTGCTCAGAACGAGCCGAAACGCCAAGTGCCCCGTATCCGTTCTTGCCGCGCGAGACCGGACACGACCCAGATAGTGACAGATTGGCGTCAGGCCCCTCGGTTCCGCGCGCGCGCCATGGCTCCGAAAGGCCCTCGCCGTGCGCCCCGTGCACCATAACAGCCCAAGCCACCAAGCAAGGGCCGCCCAACCTTCACAGGCCGACAGGATACAAACTTCAGACGAAAAGGAATCCGGCGTCGCCGCACTCCTGCGTTCTAGTGGCGTCGACCGACCAGTCGAAGCATACAACGACTTGGCTCACAAGTACAAGATCGATCTCGACAACACATACCAACAAGGCCGCTGCGACCAGCGTAAGTTTAGGGCCGAGCTGGTGAAATCGCGCGGGATAATGCAATCAGCTGCATCATTCCGCGCTACTCCCTCACGCACAAGACGGGCTCCAGCCGCGACTCACTAGGATCCGCGGCCTCTACTGACGACCACTAGGGCGACGGCAACGCCCCACTCATCAGCCTGGACGCACAGCACTGGCATGCCCCTGTCGCCCTCGCCCCCAACAGGGGGAGGACGGGACATCACACACCATTGACCTTTCACTCCACTCGCTAGATGAAGGGCAACCCCTCCTGCAACAGATCCGTCGGCAGGACAACCCCCCTGCGCTGGCCGCCCTGGGACCTATCAACACCACCCAACCTGGGCAGGAGGTCCTTATCCCTGTCCCCCGACGGACGGCAAAGGCCACCCAAACCAACGCCAGGACACGTACACGGGACCCTCTACGAACTGGGCCGAGACGAGGCCAACTGGTTGCAAAAGTCTCTACAGGTCGCATCGCACTCGACCCAGCTGACAATATGGCTCCTCTGCGCCACATGCGAAGCAGACGCTATCGCGGCCATGCCAGCGTTAAAGGACCTCTTCACCGCCCAAGCTCTTGCGCCGCCCATGGAAACTCACGCGCACGCAGGGCTCCACAGGCACGTCGCAGCAAAATGCACTTGCGTGTGTATATATGTATATATATATATATATATATATATATGTGTGTGTGTGTACATACATATACATGTATACATATACATATATATATATATATGTAGATGAAAACAAAAACACATGAATGCAAAGCGCGACAGGGCGCGGCAACAGCTGGCCGACGACCTCACAAAAGCCTTCGCGGCCACGTTCATATCCCATTTCCCGACCGCAGAATCCAAGAGCCCATGAAGCTGCTGGGTCGGCACTGAATGGACGCGGGCTGACGCAGATTCACGGCCACGTTTGGAATCAAACCAGCCGATGTACCCGTGGCCCCCTCCACTTCTGGACAGGGTGTCACACAGTTCAACGTCTGCTACCGCCGCGGTGTCAAGGGGCCACCGCCCAGCGATTGCATCGCTCCAAGCATCATACTCCATACTCGACCTCGCAAAGGCGGCACAACGCTTACGGGGCCGTCCGTGCCGACAGAAGGAGCGGACATCCGCGCCAAACCCGACACCCAAGAGGCCGAACAGGCGGCCCACCAGCACAGATGCAGCAACGCCGCGCCCGCCATCATCAAGTGCCGCGCCACGCGTATCGAGCCACGGAGCGCCACGAAAAAAACACGCAAACCGCTCAGGTCCTCGCACCGAGAGAGCGACACTACGAAGCACAGCACACAAGACGGGACAAAGCTAACATAACTGATTTTGCCATCGTCAAAGCGTCCGGGCCGCCACTGAACACCACGGCGCATGTCCATGGACCGACAGCCTTGTGGACCGTCGTCAAGATCGAACACCCCGCCAAGAGCGCCCCGCACGGAAAGCCAACCGAAACGACCGTCTCACCAGA